TACTCTGATTAAAAAGTGTTCCTTTAATTTTTTTTGAGCAGTGTATATAAAACCTCCAATGTGAACTTCATATATAGTGATAAAGTGCATGTAAACTCATAAATGCCAAATAATAATTTTTATAATAATGTAAACAGATTGAAAATTCAATAAAGTCCTAAAAACAATTGTGCAAAATTCCTTTCTTCAAAAAGAACAGTATTTCAAAGTGTAACATGCATGTATCATGCGTACTCCATAAACACTTGCTTATGAGCTCCACCACAGTGAACCATCACCTCTCAATGCTGCCGCTTACCACTTGGAGACTGCTGACTTCAACCAAATCAATGTGAAAAATAAAGAACAAATCTCATGGTGCAGTATCATAGCAACTAGTTTTCATTTATTATAAAAGATTAAAAACAAGAACAGTGCTCTTGTAACATCCAGTGCACCAGATACATTGCTTGTTTAAGACACTCTTCAACAATAAGATTGCCACCTTAAAGCGATTCTAAAGGGTATTTTTTTCTTTTTGGGGGGGGGGGGATAACAAACATGTCTATACTTGCCTACTGCGTGCAGTGATTTTTCACAGAGAAGCCTGGATGCTCCTCTTTTCAGGTCCCCCGCAGGCTCTTTTGGCCCCTCCCTCCTATTGGGTGCCCCCACAGCAAGCAGCTTGCTATGGGGGCACCCACTGCCCTGTGTGTCTATTCACACATGGAGCCATGGCTTGGCCTCACCCCCCCCCCCTCCCCTCATTGGCTGGCTGCGATTGACAGCAGCAGGAGCCAAATAGCTCCCGCTTGCTGTCTCAGTCAATGAGGAGGCAGAGACCTGGGACAGCCGAGGCTGTCATTCACATTGCTTGATCACAATGAGGCTCAGGTAAGTATTAAGGGGGCTGGGGGCACTGCTGCACACAGAAGATAAAAAACCTTCAGCCTTTACAACCACTTTAAGGATGCATATCTTTGGATAGATGTCTAAAATGGCCGACCAATGTATTGCAATCATGGGCACCTGATACAATAAATAACCCTCTCTGTATCACATGCAATACAATCATTAATTTCCAATTCTTTTTAATGACTTCAGAAATACCATTTTTAAAGGTCCCCTATAGTCCTATAGCAGCTATAGCACTTACACACACATAAAAACCTTTTTGGGCAAAGAAAGGTGTAATATGCATTGGGCAGTCTACCACTGATATACAGTAACAATCTTGTCTCTAAAAGTAGGGGCATATTTATAGATAAACTTAAGTACCTCAGGTAGTATCTTCCCCAATACGTTTTCAGCTTTAAGACCAGTTTTTTAAATGATCTTTTCCACCTGCTTATGTTGGCATTTAAAATCAAGTATCATCGTAGTTGAGAAATCAGAATTCCTTTTGGTTCCATTTTTTTCTTCAATTGACATAATCCTATCCACTTGTCCCACATTAATATGATCTATAATCTCCCCCTTATCATATCCTTTACTAATGAACCTTATGCAAAAATGTTAACTTGCTGAGTGTAAGCACCAATATATTGCAATTTCTCCAAACTCATAACAGCTGTCCTTTAGCAATATTATTAAGCCAGGCACTATGATGACAACTATTATAAGGAATCTAAGAAATTCCTATCAGTGGGTTTTAAAAAAAGTTTTAGTAGTAATTACTTCAGAATCCTTCAAAATCTCCGAGTCCAGATAAGTCCAGTTATGTGTACTGGCTTCCCAGGATAATTCTATATTTTTTTCTATTCCTATTCAATTTCTCCACAAAATGTTCCAAATCATGTCGGTCACCTTTTCATATCAATACAATATCATCTGTGAACCTACAATACAAAACAAACTGTCTAGGTTTATTGATGAATATCATATCATCCTCCCATTTTTTCAGATTTTTCATAAACAGATTAGCTAGGGGTGAGCTAGGGCTCATCTTCCCTTTCAAGTGCCCATCTGGTTGCTTCCATGGCATCCAAATGATTAATTCATGTCAATGCATTTCATGTCAATACAAATGTATGTCACACAACCTTGTACTTTTTGAAGAAAGTCATTTTGCACAAGAGATTTTGGGACTTTATTGAATTTTTAATCTGTTTACATTATTACAAAAATTTGAATTTGTCATTTATGAGTTTACATGCATTTTATCACTATATATGAAGTTCACATTGGAGATTTTATATATTTATTGACATGTGTTTCTTAGGTTTTTTTTACACATTTCTATTGGGTGGCATTAATATTTTGAGTTACGCTGCACTTTTTGATATCGATTCAAGGAGGTGGACAAGGTCCTTTAGAGCAGAGACGTCACCATTTGTGAAATCTTTTCATTGATCTAAAGTCTCATTTGCAGCAATGATTGCTATCCCATAGCATGGTGACTGCAAACTTTTCAGACTGCTGGAGGGGACAGAGTTACTTTAAGTGCAAGTTTCATATCCTTTCTAAACAGCTAAAAATGGTTTGACAATAGAGACTCTTGCACATGGGTAAAAAAAAATGCTTTGTTTTTTACTGATCTGAATATAGATGTATTGTTGTCAATGGAACTATTTACACAGCTGCATATAAAGATCAGTAATAGAGCAGTAAGTACAGAGCCATAGAGAAAAATAGGAAATGTTACATTTGAGTGCAGTAATTTACACATGGATATGTGTTTATGTTTACCCAAGAATTTTACACTTGTATACCCTTACCTGCCATTACTCTCATTTATGCACATTTATGCTAGGTCTTTTCAGAGCATTTAATTTACTTTTTGTCAACAAGATCCTGAGTATAAACATCAGTAAATTGTAAATCTGTAAACATCAGTTTGCAGCTGCCTTAAGACCCCCAGCATACCCACAATCTGTAACCATAGATGTCTGCAGATGTTTTTGAGAACCTTTCTAATTTTTATCACAGGTATATCAATATCTTAAAATAACAAAGGAAATGACAAGCTCATGTATCCCAATGCTATGATCTTAGAGGAGACTTGTGTGTTAAACTGAGGTCATTCTACCATGTAGCCATTGTATACCACAACAACAAAAAGTAAAATATGTCAGTGCCTAATAAAACATTTTGCTGTTTTTAAAAATAAATATGAATATTTCAGAACAAATTGCCAGTCTACTGGCTTATTGATGGCATGTTGCTGTATTGACTTCAGTGATACAGTGAACCAAAAACTACTTTTAAAACACAATTTGTACATTGACTTCTAAACTGCAGATCATGGCACATTAAAGTATATTAGATAGAAAGGGTCCCTAAGTGGCCGTTCACCATGAGAATGTAATTAATTATATGATTAAAGAGGTTACAACTACAATACAAAATACTGACTTTCTACTGAACACAAAGCTAATAAAATAATGTTTTACATTGACATTGCCATTTAATTAGATTGCTTTAGACAAGGTCACTAAGATATTTATTGCAGTTCAGCAAAAGGATGTGACAAATGAAAAGCTCAGAAGAGCAGAAGAACCTTATTTCTGACAAAGTGATTTCCAATGCATAGTAGTATGTTCTTAAAGCCACTAATTATTTCTCTGACCTAGAAGAAGACCATTAGTGCAGTTGAGTGCCTAGGCCTATTGTCTAGTGAGTTAAAATATCAGCATGATTTATATCACTGCCAGTGGTGGAGAGATCTAAGGCAGCCCATGTAGACATAAAAATCCCTAGGTGTTTTCTTTAATTTCTCATGAATGGGAACACATAGGTCTTTAGAATAATATAAGTGAACTTCTAATAAAGGTCAAAACTAACAAATTGCTGGCAATATAATGCATTATACTAATCCATTTGTTACAGAAATGACGGAGATTGCATTTTTTCATTGATGAGGTCAAGAAGGTCATTATATGTAAATTAGTTGTGTTTTTAGCTATACAAAGAGAAATGTTACTGGATGGCTCACATTTTTTTGTATAATATAGTAAAATGTCTTCTTTATATGTCATTATGGTTTTTTTTTTATTATTTTATATTTGCTGTTATTTACAGTTGCTTTGCTTAAAGTGTTACTAAACCCAGGACCCTGCATTCACTATATATGGTCTCCCATAGTACACAGATCATGGAAATGCAATTATTTTAGTAAATATCTTTTCTCATCAGCAGTATATAGCAGTCCTGTGACTTCTTTCAGTGTCCAGCTGGGCACTGATTAAGCTTGTATGAAGAGTTTTCATTCTCCCCTGGTTGTCCTATGAGGCTGCAGGAACCCTGACCCTTTGTTTGGACAATGCTGATTGTCCTGTGCTGATCACATGCACTCTCCCAGGAAAAAAAAAATCTCTATTAATACACACCAAATTGAGCATGTAGAACTTGCCCCCAAGGCTTGTTCTATCAGCAAATGGATTGGGGAATGTGGAAGAAGGGGAGGATCAGATAAGACAGGATCAAACAGCCTTTTTACACAATGTGGAGGCTTAACTCCTTAGGTTCCACAGTGAGTATAACAAGCATGCTTTACTGGATTTACTGTACAGACTGATTTTACTACTGTGGGTTTAGTAACATTTTTAGCTGTATTATATGCAATATAATATTGTTTTGCACTTTTAAGAAGAATAAATCTGTTTGTCATATGTACATTTGGCATTACTAATATGAAAGCACTGTACCTTACATAACTGCTTGCTAGTATGGTTTCATAGGCCAGCAAGATGTAGAATCATACCACATATTAAAAACTGAGTATAATTTAGAGAATAGAGTAAGGGTTGACAGACATTTTAGCTTTTTTCCTACTTTATTTTTTCAAAATATAAAAAAAAACTCAAAAAGAAATGTCTACCTTCTTTTACAAACTGTAGCTGATTTGACACACTGTTATTTTTATCAATTATCATTATCAATTTTTAAAACAGAAGTTTTCAACCTGAGGTTTACATCTACTTAAATTGCAACTAAATGCATGCATTTTTTTGTATTGTCGTCAACAGTCAAGCTCTTTATAGCTGAAAAGATATGTAATGTCCAGGGGCAATCGGGCATCATGGGGCCCCTGTGTCCTTGTCCACACTCAAAGCACACCCAAAAAAGCCTATAAAAAAGGTACCAGGGGCATTTCATGGTCAGTCCGCCCCTGGCAATGTCTCTTATGTGCATATAAATGAACTCCCTTGCCTGTTCACAATCCTCTGTAAAATATACTGCACAGTGTATTGCAGATCAGTTTACATTTCAGCATGTTGCTACTGTACCAGGATGATTGCATTCCTGTGCAGGGGCGGATTGACAACTCATGGGGCCCCGGGCAATAGGGGATCATGGGGCCCCTGTGTCCTCGCCCACACCCAAAAAAGCCTATTAAAAGGACAATGAAAGGTACCAGGGGCATCTCATGGGGCCCCCTACTGACCCCGGGCCCTCGGGCAGTGCCTGAGTGCTCAAATGGTCAGTCCGCCTCTGCTCCTGTGTATGCGCTTGGGTGACATCCTGTGAATCGTATGTACTCTCCAGCGCCTCAGGATATGCACAGCCAAAAGGGAAGCCAAGGGTACCAGGACAGCGACAACCAAAGGAAATGCTTCAGGGGTGCAGCCCTCCTCAGACGGGGAAATCAGCTACTGGATAGAGAGAAAACAGGTGGCGCACACACCTAGTGCATTATCCAAGGTTTATTGTAGGAATGAAATAATAAAAACATACTCACAGATGAAGCATGTATCTAAAAAGCATAGAAAAATGACAATGGCCACAACAGCGGGCAAGGTGTTCTCATTGTCAGTGCGGTCAAATGGCTGACGCATTTCGGGGACGAATCCCTTTCCTCAGAGCTGATGACCAGCCTCTGATGCTGATGTTTGATGTATGGACAGAAAGAGCCTCGCTGTTGATGTGAAGACCAATCGAGACAGCAGCAGGCCAGCACCCGGAAGAACCCAGGGAAAAGTTGCTGTTGCTGATGAGGAACCTTGCAGGCATCAGACCATTGACACTAAGGTACTGATGCCTTTAATTCCCCTTTAACTTTTAAATATTAAAAAAAAAATTAATTATTCACATAAAGTCTGTACTTTTAGAATAAACATTTAATACAGATGCACCTATGTTACTGGTGTCATAGTAGCCATTTCCTTTCAGGCTGTATGTCATTCTTTAATAATTTAAAATATGTATGGACCTGCAAGGAAGAGGGGCATGTGGGTCACTGCTTTCACTCATTCATCTGTGTGTGGAAATGAGTTTAAAGTGTTTATCAAGCCAAGCATTTTTTTCTAGCTTTGGGCACAGTGGGGAAATATAAGAATGCCTGTGAGCTCTTTACTACTGCCAAGAGCTCTGTTAGATAATTTTACCCCTAAATCCTGCCTTGTTTCACCAGACAGAAAGTGATGCAACAGGTACACAGACAGAAAAATAAAAATTTGACTCCAGTCTGCTAAAATGTTGCTTACGGACAAGAAATGAGGATTCATCTCCTTAACCAAGTTCTCAATAAAAACCTGACAGGGATTCTAACCCTGGCCAACAAAGTTTTGGCTGGACATACATAACACAAGCTATGTTGACAATTTATTTAAGCAAATTTGCTTACTGAACACCATACTTTTCCTATAAAACATAGCATTAGCACATGATATTTCACAAATGATGTGACATTGGCTCTTCTTAATTCAGAGCTTATGATCTTTAATGTAGCCACAAAGCAGAATGCTAAGCAGTAACAAAGAATGGAAAATATCTAGTTAAACATGTTGTCTTACAAAAGCTGTAGCTCAGTTTGGCACAAGTACTTGCTTTGTATCTCTCTTAAGCAGGGGCGGACTGACCATTTGGAAACCCGGGCACTGCCCGAGGGCCCGGGATCAGTAGGGGGCCCCATGAGATGCCCCTGGTACCTTTTTCATAGGCTTTTTTTGAGTTTAGGCAAGGACACAGGGGCCCCATGATCCCCTATTGCCCGGGGGCCCCATGAGTTGTCAGTCCGCCCCTGCTCTTAAGTAAAATGTTTTAACTTTTCTTGGTGGTCAAATGATCTTGATTTGGTCTTTTGTGCATATGAATAAAGCCAGAAGTATTATCAGTAAAATTATAATATTTATCTAATAAATTTTACCTTTAGCATATTTGTTTGGTCCCATTTAAAGTGATCTATGCATTGCAGGTTATATGAGGATTTATTTATAATAGGAACATCTTTTTACATTAAAACAGTATATGAAAGTTATTTCATGTTTCATTGACAGATTGCATATTGATCCTAAATGCACTTAACCACTTGCCCTCCAGAGGATTTACCCCCCTACCTGACTAGGCCATTTTTTTTTTGTGATATGGCGCTGCATTGCTTTAACTGACAGCAGCGCGGTCATGCAACACTGTACATAAATGAAATGTATGTCCTTTTTTTTCCACAAATAGAGTTTTATTGCGGTGGTATTTGATCACCTGTGTGTTTTTTTTATTTTTTGCACTATGAACAAAAAAGTCTGAAAATTTTGAAAAAACAATGATATTTTCTCATTTCTGTTATAAAAAACATCCAATAAACTCAAAGTTCATCATATGTTTTGGCCAAGATGTATTTTGCTACATGTCTTTGGTAAAACAATCCCAATAACTGTATATTAATAAAAACAAAAAAATACTGACAATTTAAAAAAAAAAATATATTTTTGACTTTTTGTTATAAAACATTCTGTACAAAAATTTAAAAATCAAAATTTCTTAATTAATTTAGGCCAAAATGTATTCTGCTATATGTCTTTGCTAAAAAAAATCCCAATACATGTAAATTAATTGGTTTTGCGTGAAAGTTATACCATCTAAAAATGGCAGTATACGTAGTATAATTTTTATTTTTTTTTATACAGCCACAGCACCACCTGCCTGGAGTTTGCATGTTCTCTCTGTGACTGCATTGGTTTCCTCTGAGCACTCCGGTTTCCTCTCACACTTCAAAGACATGCTGTTCGGCTAATTGGATCCTGTCTAAATTGGCCCTAGTATATGTATGAATGTAAGATAGGGACCTTAGATTGTATTTGAGGGTTAGGGACTAATGTGAATATACAATATATATGTAAAGTGCTGCATAAATTGATGGCACTATATAAGTACCTGAAATAAATAAAATACTAGTAATAGCGGCGATCAGCGACTTACAGCGGAACTACGTGACTGCGGTGGGCATTCTGACACTAGGTGGGAACTGACTAACTGCCACTGACATCACAATACACTAATACAGTGATACTAATAAAAAGCACTGACACTGTGCTAATGACAATGGGCAGGAAAGGATTAATATCTGGGGTGATCAAAGGGTTAACAGTGTACTGTGTGCTGTTTTACATGATGTGCTGTGTGAGATTTACTAGGGAGGCATGCTGCTGTGTATTTCTCTGCTGTGCACATCCCTACCCTGAAATGCAAATCACGTATATATACATGATTTTGCACAGTCCTTCCCCCCTTTAGCAGTAGTTCTACTACAAGGCAACGGGGGAAAGCATTTAACCGCTTAAGGACCACCCACAGTACATTTACTGCTACATGGTGGCCCCTGTGTGCAGAATCACGTGTATATATATATATATATATATATATATATATATATATATATATATATATACGTGATTCTGCATTTCCGGGTAGGGGGCGCGTGTAAGCCGTGCGTGTGCCCTATCCACGCTGCTGATCGCGGAACCAGGTGTCAATCACCGGGTGCCGGCGGGTAATTACCAGCAATCACCGATAGGGAGGAGGGCTGCATTGTTTACCAACAGCCCTCCTCCCTGTTAGTTTGGGCACACTGCTCTGAGCAGAGTCATCCAGAACAGTGTGCTTACAGTAAAACACACACACCCCGCCCCCAAGTAAAACACTCCCATCACACAGTTATCCCTTTGATTGCCCCTCATGTTAACCCCTTCCTGCCCAGTGCAATTAGTACAGTGTCAGTGCTTTTTTTTTTAACACTGATCACTGTATTGGTGTTACTGGGGATGTCAGTGACACCAAGTCAGTTCCCCCCAGTGTCAGAATGCCCACCACAGTCCTGCAGTCCCGCAGTCTATAAGTTGCTGATAGCTGCCATAAGTCACTGATCGCCGCCATTATTAGTATAAAAAAAAATTCCAATATCTATACCACCATGTGTAAATGCTATAACTTTCACGTAAACCAATTAATTTACACGTATTGGGATTTTGTTTTGGCAAAAACATGTAGCAGAATACATTTTGGCCTAAATTTATGATGAAATTTGATTTCTAAATTTTTTTACTGGACATGTTTAACAGCAAAAAGTCCAAAATATTGTTTTTTTCTCAAAATTGTCAGTCTTTTTTTTATAGTGCAAAAAATAAAAACTGCAGAGGTGATCAAATACCAGTGAAAGAAAGCTCAATTTGTGGGGGAAAAAGGACGTAAATTTCATTTGGGTGCAGGGTTGCATGATCGCGTAATTGTCAGTTAAAGTAACGCAGCACCGTAACGCAAACCGCTTCTTTAACTGCTTCCTGACCACCCTATAGCAGAAATACTGCTACAGGCTGGCACAGGTGCGCAAAATCATGTATATATACGTGATTCACACTCCCGTGGTTTTCACACCCCTCTCATATAGTGTCAAAATGCCCATTAGTACACCTGTAATCCCATTTAACCCCTTGATTGCTAGGAACAAGCTCATACACAATAAACCTCCGTTGCTAGTATAGTGTCTGAACGGATCAATATCTTTGATCAGATCAGCACTATACCAGCGTTCACATTAGTATAGTGTCCCCAAAAACACAGCTGTAGCGGGATCAGCCCTGGCACCTGCCAGCACCTGCGTTTAGCCCCTACGATTACCCCCTCTTATCCCCCAGCAAGTGCAGTGTCAGTAGGTCACTGTCACTTGATACATTGGACACAAAACCGCAGTGTTTGCAGAATCAGGCCTGATTTCTGCTAGCAGTTGCCGGTAAATTTTGATGACTCTCATATGCAGCAGAGTGCCAATACTAGTGCCACGCTATCTTTTAGTGAACTGGCCAGCACCAGCGGCCTAGTACATCCTGGTCTTTCACATACTAGCATCACCATTCACTGCCCAACCCAAAATTCAGGTGGAAACAGCAAATTTAATTGGGGTTAAGATGCATAAGACCCATGAGAGGACAACAGTCTATAACATATACTTTTGTAATTTACAAAACGTAAAGTATAGTCACGTGGAGCCCCCCGGATACCCAGACTACATGGGGAATAGTGGCAAGATAGTTTGGGACTTGGTGTCATCCTTTGTCCATATGTCATACCACTTATACGTGGACAATTTTTATTCAAGCGTGCCACTATTTAGACATTTGTACAATCTTGGAATTTGGCACATGTGACACCATGAGACCTAATGTGTGCCCACCATTAGAAGTTGGCGGATGCAGGGAGGTATATTCTAATGGTGGGCATACCACATACTTTTTCTGGCAGAGATT